AATGGGGGGGGGGGCGCAGAGATTTCTCCAAATCTAAAGCCTTCTGCCATCACAATGCACACAACACCAGCTCCTCCGTGGAGCCCTGAAGGCCCATGCTCACCACAGCGCCTCTCATCAGAGCCGTCCAAACAGTCCTCCCTCCCATCGCACAGCTGCTCCTGCTCCACGCAGCCCAGCACCTCACAGGGCACCTGGCCTGGGCTGCACCGAATGGGCGGGAAGGGCCCTGGGGCGATGCTCTGGCCTGTGGGTATGACCACAGCCGGCTGACCAGACATGCAGCCCACCCGGTCCTCCCTCTCTGAGTCACCTCCCAGCAGCCCCCCACCTCTCTTCCTCACATCTGGTGCACCCCACTTCCTGCCTCTCAGGACAGTGGAAAAGTGATAAACTATGTCCGCATGCTTGGGTTCTAGTCCCGGTCCCACAAAGACCCTGCGCTCACCTAGAGCTGTGTAACCTCCACCGCAGCAGCCCACCTCCCAGGGCCTCTGTCCCCCGCAAGGAAGCTGCAGGGAGGCTGGGGCTGGTAGGCGGAAGGCTGAGGAATCTTACTGGCAGGGGCCGCTGGAGTCATGCGGTAGGGGGGCAGCACTGTCACGGCTGCCATTCCTGGTCGCAAGGCTGTGGCCTCAGGCTGGGATGTGGAGGTGACAGTTGCTCTCGGCACAGGGCTTGGGTGAGTCGCCTCCAAGGCTGGTGCATGGCTCACTGGCCCCGTCCCTGTGGGTGCAGGAGGGAGCAGGGTGAGGTGTGCCAGCTCCCTTCCCAAGATGAGGTCACAGGGCCCTCCAGAGGGTGTCCCAGGCTTTGGGGTGGTGCGAGGTGCTGCCACTCCTGGTTTCCTCCAAGTCCTTGCCATCCTCCTCCCTTGGGGGCTCCTCTGCCACCCCCCCAGGCCCACTTACCAGGCGGGGCGCAGTGGCAACAGGGCTCTCCCATTCCCTCCACCAGGACCCAGCCCTGCGGGCACAAGAAACAAGGTGGACATGCTGAGCTGGCCACTTGCCCATCAGCTGTCCCCAACCCTGGCCTTCATGCACTCCCCTTCCACTCCCACCCCATTCCCCACCATATTGCCCCCCCAAGTCCCACCGCCAAGCCCCACCCTATGCCCCTTTACCTGGGGGCAGCTGCCCAGCGGGCAGTAGGGGGAACAGCGCGCTGTGCGGTTGTACAGACACTGGCAGACCGTGCAGGTGCCCTCCTGCCAGCGTTCCCCGACGTGGTGGGCCTGGCCCTGATGCTCACAGTCCCCACAAGGCTCGGTCTGGCACCTAGAAAGGGAGGGTCACCCTGTAACCTGAACCCCACCCCTGCACCCAAGAAGCTGCAACTGGCCAATGGGCCCCGTCCCAGAGGGGCTGGGCAGGAAGGCATGGCTACACCCCACAAGCCCCACCCAAGTCCCTCTGGAGGCACAGGATGCAAACCAGGGGACCCTAGACCTGTCCAGCCGCATCTGTGGGCTCTTTGCACCCCCTTTAGGACCTAGAGGGCACAAAACCAATGTAGGAGGAGACCAGGGTTCCCCAAAGATGTGCTGGAACTCCTGAGTTTAGACTAAGGGGTGTTCCTCATTTGGGGGTCTATGGCACACGGGGAAGCACCTGACCTGAGAAAGGGCACATGGGCAGCGGGGGGTTGGAAGAGAGGGGTCCGGGTCCCTGCGCGTCCCAGGTGGGTGTCCAGTACCTGCGGGCTTTGCGGTGGATGCCTCGGCACCGGCGACCGCGGCCGGAGGGGCGGGGGTTGCTGGGGCTCCGGAAGGACCACTGAATGCTCTGGCTCCCGCAGGGACCCAGGCACTCAGCCCAGGGGGACCAGGGCGACCAGCCACAGTTCACTGAGAAAAGACCAAGAGTCAGGGGCCGGAGCAGGGGCGGGTGTCTGGCTGGGGGGGACCCCATGGGCAGGGCCAAGGGCAAGACCTCACCAGCACAGTCGGGGTCAGGCCAGCAGCTCCGGGGTTGCCCGTCTTGGCAGATGCAGAGCTGGCAGTCAGCCTTGATGTGCTGCCCAGGCCAGTAGCGGGCACCATCCACCTGGCAGGGGCACTGCCCAGGCCGTACACACTGCCCCTCACTGTCCAGCACCTGCCCTTTGGGGCACCAGCAGCCTAGGGAAGACCCAGGGTGAGGCACCCCTGCAGAGAGCTCAGCCTCTCTCCAAAGGTGTGCCCACTTCACCCAGAGCCCAGACCTTCACCTGGGCTGCTGCACGGCCGGTCAGCAGGGCAAAGGGTCTGACCAGAGATGTCATCGCAGGTGAGAGGGCAGGGGGCACAGGGCCAGAATACCAGTTCCCCAGAGCAGGTGGCATTGGGGCAGCCATCCTGAGGGCAGGGCCCTGAGAGAAACAAGAGCTGGAGGTGGGGAGGGCAGGCCCCCCTGCAACCCCTCCACACTCCCCCCATTGAGCCCCCTCCCTTCCACTCACGGGTCTGACGGGTGCTGTGAGGGCCCCCAGGCAGCATGGCGCAGGCCTGGCCCCCATTCTGGGGTGGGTGGCACTGTCGCTGCCGGGTCATGGTTCCCTGGCAAGGCTCAGAGCACAAGGACCAGGGAGACCAGGAGGTCCATTCACCGTCCACTACGAGAAGGGGCCGAACAGGCAGGGGCACCATGAGGTCTGGGCAGGGGCCCAGTGGCCTCACTCACCCCAGTGTCTCTGGGCCCCCCCAGCCCCACTGCCCTCACCTGGGCAGGCAGCCATGAAGCAGGCCTGAGTCTGGTGCTCAGGGCCCTGGCAGAGCTGCAGCACCGGGAGCCTGGGCGGGGAACAGTGGCGGCTCCGGCCCTGCACCCCAGGCCCACAGCTGTGGCTGCACCATCCCCACGGGCTCCAGGGTCCCCAGGCCCCACAACCCTGCTCTTCTGGGGAGAGCTCTGCCTCTCCTGTCGTTTCGCAGTCTGCCTTCCCATCACACACCTGAGGAGGGACCGGGTCAGGGCCCTTTTCTCGGGTGGCACAATGGGTCTGCCCCCTGCATCACCACTCCCCTCCTCACCAGCTGGAAACCGATGCAGAGGCCGTTGGGACAGGAGTATTCCGGGCAGGGAGCCCCCGTCCTGTTGGGGCCTCCAGGGACTGGCAGCCCCTCTGAGGCGAAGAGAAAAAACACAGTCAGATGGGGGGAGAGAGAGCCACCTCCCGACCCCACTCCCACCAACCTTGGCTTCCATCAGGGAAACCAAGTTCCATACCACAGGCCAGCTCGTCCTCGCCCTGGAGACAGTCGGGGATCCCATCACACAGCCACTCAAGGTTCAAGCACAGCTGGGGAGCCGAAGGACAGCGGAAGAGGTCTCCGCATGGGGGCAGCTGGCTGGAGCCTGTGGGCACAATACAAGTCCTGGGGCTCCTACCTCTCTCGCCCTCTCCCTGCAGAGGGGCTGGCGGCTGAGACAGAGACACTGGAGGGGGAGGTGGGTGGGAGGGAAGCGGAGCCAACATGGGACCCACACCAGGCTCAGAGATGCTTTGGGGAGGGGCGCAGGGGGGGCATCCAGGCCAGGCCCAGGTGTGAACAATCGCCTCCCCTCCTCAGGGAGGTGGCTGGATGTGAAGAGGCACAAACAGAACCCCCAAGTCTGGTGGGGAANAACAATCGCCTCCCCTCCTCAGGGAGGTGGCTGGGTGTGAAGAGGCACAAAAGGAACCCCCAAGTCTGGTGGGGAGGAGCTGGGGGCTAGGCCTCCAAACAGGCCCACTCCCCGTGCCCAGAAAGCGCCCCCCCCCACTTTTACCCTTTCTTGCCCAAACGTAGGCAAAGACAAAAGCCCTCTACTCTCCCTTGGGCCTGGGAGGAAGGGCGAGTTTTCATGAAAAAGCTCACAGG